AACAGTCTACTGTAGTTGTCTGATTTGTGTCCTTTTTATTAACCTTTTACATGCTTTTGTATGAATATTCTACTCACATTATAGAAGGCTTTTATTGTTTACTGTTAAATTAGTCTTACTTTCTGATACGTTTTCTTTTTTGAGCTCACGGCTCAGTTAGTTTGTCGCATTATTACATTATGCGAGCATCATTATAAAAATGGGAAAAAAAGCATCAGCCGGCAGGTATTTAAATTCCCTAACACAGCATGATGGGATATTATTTTGTGAAACAGTGTCAGCCATCGTTGTTTGAGTATATATTTTCTCTTTTTTTTTGCCATCATCACAAACAACCAGCCACAAGCTGTGTTTATTTCTCCATTCTGATGAGTTTAAGAGCCTGTGGGGTGAATGTTCCCTCCAGGTAAATATCAGTCCTTGGGAATGAGGTGGTGTTTTTTTTATTTTTTTTATTTCCCGACATGTTGTTTGCTCAGGAGGGTGTCAGCGGTTGCAAACATCGCATTGATGTAATGCTTAAAACTCAACATGAAAACTTTGTATTTCTCAAGAGCCGGTGGAGAAAAAAAAACGAATTCCAGAACACAGACTGTCAGCAAACATACTAGAAAAAAGCTAAAAGCTACGTAGCATCAAGTGAGCACAAGACGTAAGACTTTTGGGCAAGGGTTAATCTACACCGCAGTGAACCATAACCACAATGTCTCACTGGCCTTTAGACATGCTGAAGTGGTTGTCTCTCCTATCCATGCCCCCTCATGCCATTTCAATTTGAGCCACAATAAATTCTCCGGGATTGCAAGTCGCATTTCACGCATGATTTCTTATTTCTCTTCACATTTTTACAGAGGAGCACTTGTCTTTGCTTAGGCGATTCCAGCTAATAGCTCTGGAGATTGTTTTTTTTTTTCCACGGCTTTTGACACCCATTATTGGTAGGAAGTTGCTTCATCAAGCCACCTGTACCCCTGTTCCACACGTCGTGTAGCTTTCTCTTTCATTCTTAAGATTTTATGTGGCCCGAAGCAAGCGATTAGACGGTTATCATTACACCGTGATGAATAAAAAACAAAGCCCTGCTGCGTCACTGTTTTTAGTTTTCATTGATCTGAAATGCCCCTCTGGCAAAGTCAGCAGCAGACCACAAATATTAAACATACAATGAAAATACTTATTTGGAACGGGAAAAAAAGCCTGAACTAACAGTCATGGCGCTGAAAAATCAAGAATTGCTCCCTATGAGCAACAACTACCTCAATGCACTGAGTTTAATTGATGTTTTCTTTGGACTTGATTGAGTATTAGCTTTATATTAGCTAATATGTCCAGAAGATAAAAATGGCTGTCCGTCTTTTCTTGTTTGTAGCTCTTTTAGCTCAATAATTTAAAAAAACAAATTAGAAAAAAGCATGACATTTATCATTTCTCATCTTGAAATTGTGAATCATGGCCATTGTTAGTCCATTCCTCAAAGTTTTCCACCTTACACAGATTCAGATGTTGTGTATTGGGCACATTGTGAAATCTTTTGTGATTTCCAGATTTGAATCCATTCTTTCTATGGTTCTGTATTCCCATCCGTATAACACACATAACAGGATCCCTGAAACAGGGAAATATGGGCTAAGGGTTTCAAATGTAATAAGTAATATAGCTTTGAGTTGGGAATACGGGAATAGGTCATTTTTCTTTTCCCACCGCAGAAATAATCAAGGTTATCTTAGAGGTCTGAGGTAACAGGATTCAGAACTGCTGTTGACTCAGCTTTCAGTGGCTGGTTTCCCTCCAGCTTTGTCTGCTGTCAACAAGAGCTACTTTAGACTGTCAGAAGAAAATATATTTGTGTATCTATCCATAAGCTGTTGCTCTTAAGTTGGATTCCAAGTTCTATCTAATTCACCAAAAACAGATCCAACAGAATTGAGTTTTTGTTGTTATTAAAACAAAGATATGAAGATCTTCTTTTGCTTACCTGTGCTTTATAGTCTCAATTCATCAAAAAAACTAACAAATGGCTTCAGTTTGCGTTTGAGTATACATGCCATTGCCATTAATTTCAGCTATTTCTGCTCTGTAATTATTCATTCAATGTGACCTTTTTAATGACAGCCGCGTTAAAGTAAAAACACTCCTAATGACCTAAATTCATAGTCAGAGGTTGAAGTCTCCCACTTAAACGGGGCTCATATTTCGGTCCCTTATAAGGGGCCGTTTCAGCTCCCTGAAATCAAACTTTTTATTTCTTCTTAAAGCATGCCAACAGCGTCGCTCTGAAAGATGGCTGGTGCTGGGCCAGATTTACTTTTAAAAAGACTTATTGAAGGTTGACCTTAGATTTCAAAGGCAGGGCTTAAAGTTGGGTTCGGCACGACGTTTATGGGTCATCTCCGCTATAAATTATTCGGGAGCTCTTTTGTCCTCCTGCTTGCAGCTAATGGGGAGAAAGTGAGGCCACAGCTCACATGGGACAAATCAAAGAGTCCGACTTGTTTATACGGCGGGAATGACACATTCCGTTTGAAATTTGAGGGGGGGAATTTAGCTGATTCTCCTCCTCAAAAAGGTTCCAAAAAGATCATGACATTTGGCTAATGTGTTGGCCTGAATAACTAGTGGCCGTCTCTCCCACCATGTGTGGCGATAGCACAATAAAGGTCAGTGCCGTCTGAACTTTTGGGAAGTGTCACCTCGCTGCTGAACACACAGATCTGACGCACAGCGCCAGTAAGGGGAAAGCTGCCCTTTAACACTCAATCTTGATTGATTAGCTTTGAAGCCCCTTTTACTAAGAGAATATTAAGCAAATCCCAGATCTCTATCTGTTCCAGCGCCTTTTTAAAAAAAAGCCGCTCATTAGAGGAGATTAACACCCTGTAATGTAGTCACGTCAATGGCTGGTGTTCCACGCGAGCTTTAATAACACGCATCATAATTACTGATACCATAAGAGCTTAGCCGTGCAAGCGTGTGGAAGACTGCACAACAATTGTTTTTTAGTAAAAAAAAAAGTTTTAATTAAAATCCAAATATGAAATGGAGCACAGACTCAGGAGGAAATCACTTGGAAAGAGGAAAAAAAAGCATCTAACTTGGAATACACACACACACGCACACACACAAACGGGAACAGAAAAAGAAAACCCGTTTACAGTAGCCATGACTCTGCGATTAGCACCGCTGAGTCATCGCTTTAGGAGGAGGAGCAGCACAGGGTCACAGCCCTGGTCACCAGGTCAATCTCCAAATGGATTTTTCTTTAACTCTCATGTAATTTCCCTCCTTGTTTAAGTCTTAACCGTCAGGATAAACAGCATCTCTTCCTGTTGGGACATTAATGAGTTAATAAACTCAAGTCTGGGCTAATAAATTCAAATTGTGGATCATAATGAAAACGGCTATGGGCCAGTTTCAACCAGAAGAGGCCGCTTGTTGTAAATCCATCTGTGAGAATGGTCCAGCCCGTCAGGGGCGCCCATTAATGACCATTAACGTAGGAAAAAAAGACTAAATACCGAACATACTTCTCAGTTTTGTGGCATGTTTTTAAAAAAATGTCCCGATCGATTGAGCGGCTTCTGACAGTGACTTCTTTTTTAATCCTTTAGCACCACACTGTGCGTGGAACTGGGCATGGCAGCCTCCGCTGGCCGTGGTCTGCGGCCTGCAGCGTGAACGCACGCAGAGTTAAGCGTGTGTGGCTTTTGGCCAGTCCTCTCTCAGTTTGCAGGGACTTACACTACAGTGTGGCGCAATTTAAGCTTTGGTCAGATACAGAAATCACTCGTCGTAGCCAACTTTAAGTACAAGAAGCTGTTTTCTTCCTTGGAAAACGCATGAAAAATAAAAGTTTCATCAAAAAAGCATAATTTCCCCCTCCAAATTTGTAATTTTTTTAATGGAGAGAGGATGGATACCACTTTTGTGCTAGATAAATAGACTTTTGTTAAGAATAGCAAAAAAATAAATGAGAAAAATAGAATTAGCTAGCTTGGATTGGTAGTTTTCTATGGCATACAAAAGGTTTGTAACCTAAACACACACTTTTGCGTTGTTATGCAGGCCAAAGGCCAATACATCGGTTTAAAATAGATTAGTGAAATCGCTGTGAGGGCCATGCATGGCCTAAAAGCCTTTCTTAAAGCTTATCCAGGCCATGTAGCTGGTGGATATGTCACACATAAACTGAGGCCAAATTCAAATTAATAGTAAAGCCCTGCAAATCTGTGCATGTCTCATGTAATGAAATGCTCTGACTTTAATTAACAACGATATCTATTCCGTCTATTTGCGCCGGACCCGATCATCTTTTGAAATGCGTCGTCTCTCATCTTTTCCCAAAATACGACGCTGCCAGTCTCTCCGAAGGTGACGGAAACGTTCGGCAATCCATCATCTAAGACGTATTAATCAGACCGGCCGCCATCCCCTCCCCGAATCATCTTTGTAGAATGGATCCCCTCTTGAGATAATCACTTTTTCATCATCTGCAGTATAGCGTGTGACTAATTCAGATGTGGAATTGATGGGAGGAACAAGCGGTTAATATGTTTGTATTAACTCCGACCAACTGGCTGCATATGGTGTTATTCTTCTGCCTGCATGCTTTCTGTCAATGCTTAAAGAAGTCGTTTGATTATTTTTTTACATTACATTAAGGTCCGTTAAGCGTCCCCTTCATTTAAAGAGCTAGCCGAGAAAACTGAAATGAAGCTACAGATCAGAGGAACCGGCCCGGGAATTCTTAAGGTGGTTCTTCCATCAAAACCTGAAAGTGCTAAGAGACCGAATCCAATAGAAACCATAACGCTCAGTGTGAATAGACTCAGTGCCAACAAAGTTGCCAGGTGTGTGGGTTTTAAATGAAACCGACAAGCCAGAACAGAACAGCCTCGGCTTGTTAAGTAGAAAGGCCACATGTCGGTGGCCAGTGTGCTCAAACACATGTAACACTGCCCCCCAGTGGTGTGTCCACTGGCAACAAAACACTGACCAGTAGCAGCTGTTTGCATTTCTTTAATAAACATTTGCCAAAGAAGGAGGGAACGGGACAAATCATCTTAGTACAAAAAAAGACACGTTTCCTTTCTGCACTCGGGTTACGTTTTTTTTTTTTTTGCTTATGATTTTACCAACGCCTACTGCCAAAACGAGGCATGTGAATTCAAAGTGAAAACAGCCTTTTTCTCCATGATATAAGACGGGATTCGTTGCAGTCGTACAAGTGCTATGAGTTCTTTTATTCAAATAGCTCCCTGTGCTGATGCCTCGTCCATCAGTCCAATCGATAGAGCCATCGGTGTCTGAATATATTCTTGGCCTCGACAAACAGAACATTACAAGTCGTATTCGGAATTGTGCAGGTTATAGCACATCCATTTCCTTTCACAGCCAAAAGGGTTCCTGCCTACTTATATCAGTAGTGCAAAAACATTAATACTACTCTGCCCTGGAGCATTGCAGAAAGGCTAAGGTAGAGATTTAAAATTTACCGGGCTTGATAATGTACAACCAAAGAAAAAAAAAATATAGGAGAAAAGTTTAATTTAAGTCGGCAGAATAGATTACAAAAAAATACGAAAATGGTATGAGCAAGAAAAGCTCCTCTGGGGTTATTCAACTGTCCTTCAACAACTTATTCCAGACAGAGGGAACAGACAACTGAAGTGATTTACACTCTGTGTGCGTCTGCCCTGGCCTAAAGAGGCTTCAGGTTCAAAACAGAGTCCGCTGGCCCTTTGTGGTTTGTTGCATTTTACATTTCCAGTTTTTTCAGAAAGGCAGGCCTCGTCCTCTGATTGTGGTAGAATTCACATGTGGAACAAAGCCGTGGGGGAGAGGCGGAGCGCCCACCTGGGCCGGGGAGCCCCAAGGCTGTCCTGGTGGCGGTATGGGTGGAGGTGGGCCATCCTTCCTGGCCACACTGTGGTTGTACATGTGCAGAGCAGCGGGATTGTGCGGTCCGTCCACGGGTAAGGGGCTGTGATTGTACTCGAATCGGTGGTCCTTGTCCCCGGTGAACATTATGCTGCTGGCTCTGGCGGCGGCTGCTCCGGGGGGGTACGGGTCCGGGTGGGTCGGTGGCAGGACTCCCGGGCCGCTGGAGGACCTGCCGGCTTGACCGGGCCCGCCGAACACATCTCTCAGAGCGTGAGGGGGCAGGCCCCCCCCTAGCATGTGGCCCATGTAGCTCTCCCCAAACCCTGCAGGGGTAAAGGGGGGAGGCGGTGGATGGCTGTATTCACCTCCGTATCCTGAACCCTCGGCGGAGGGGAGAGGTGGGTAGTCCGGCTCCGGGGGCCTCCCTCCGTCGCCCCCGCTTGCAGCGGCTATGGGGGGGGCGGGGCCTGTGCTGGGCTCAGGCGGGGGAGGCTGCCGGTAGTCCAGGTCAGCGTGCGGGGGCGGCTCTGGGGGTTCAGGGGGCCTCTGGTCAGGGGGTAGAATGGACACTCCACCCACCTCAGACACTAGAAAACAAATAAGAAAAAGCCGGTGTAATGTGCATGTTTCAGTTCCTGCTGACCTCAATGAGACGTCAGAGGAAACAGTGACAATTACTGATGAATTACCCTATCGTTCAGAAATGAATAACGAGATTAAAGACCTCTATCTTTCCTCTACAGCTGGCCTTGTTTTCAGAATCAGAATCAGAAAATACTTTAATAATCCCAGAGGGAAATTATTTGATTCATCTTTAACCCATTTAAGCCGTTACATCAACTAACAATCTTTCAGAGGATGTGTCCTGTTCTGTTTATTTCATTTGGCAGCCTCGGTTTGTTTGGAAAAGCCTCACCTGGAGAAACGGGGCTGGGCTCTGGGGGCTGTTTGACCTCAGGGGGGGGAGGCGGTGCGGTCGGGGCGGCCCCTGCCTCCGGGGGGTTGGCGCCCTCTGGTCCCTCTCCAGCATCACTCGGCTCCTGTCTCTGTGGCTGTTGGGCCTGCAGCAGCTGAGCCAGCAGCATGGTCATGGCCGTCTGCGTGGCGGCCGCGGCGTCTCCCTCCGTAATACTCGTCGGCGCGGACGTGGGGGGGGAGGGGGGCTTGGGCATCGGGGGTGTGCGGGGTACTCCGGCCGGGGCGGCGGGCTGCGGAGGCTTGGCAGGCGGAGGCTGAGGGGGCGGCTCCGCTTGGTCAGGCGGAGCCAGGGCTTTAGCGAGCTGCTGTAATGTCTCTTGGTTGACCTTTGTGCTCATGGACTGGACAAACTGAGTGGTGCTCACGGCACTCTTGGGCTGACCAAAGAAGTTCAGGAGGACGGCCAGCTGCTCCTGGGTGAACTGGGAGTTTGGACCCTTTCCATCTGCAATGAGGCAACCGAGCACACGCGCTTTTAAGAGGCTACTTATCTCTGAAAACACATATTTAAATCGGACCAAAAAAATAACTGAGTTTTGCAGCCAACTCTAATTTTCTAAAAAGATAATCACACACCAATCCATCAGAATCAGTTTATGCCTGCTGACAAAAAGGGCAAACAAAACATCTGCCAAGATGCGAAAAATAAGCATTTAGATAGAAGTTAGCTGGGCAAGTGAAGCATACAGGCTTATTTGAGTCTTCAAACCAAATGAAATCATCTTTGGTATATTCGACAAACTTGTTTACTTTACAAAAAAGCCACGCAATTGATTGAATCGTTGCATATAAATGAGTAAATTACCCTTAAAAAAGGTATTTCTCTTGCAAAATGACACATTTCTGCATGCAGAGTTTTCGGTTGAGCTGCATCTCAAGCCAATCAAAGTAAGCCAGAGCAGACACAAAATGAAGAAAGTGGCGATGCTCACCGAGCAGTGCAGAGGCTACTGCGTTCTGTGCTTTGATTCCTCCGGCGGCAGAGAGGCCCTGTGGAGTGTTACTACGGCTGTCGTCAAGGCCGAGCTCTTTGCGGGGCGCCTTGGGGGCCCCCAGTTCGTCTGGCATCTGTTTCTGTCGCCGGCGTTTCTTGCTCCACAGCTCGTGGCAGTCCTGCCACAGGGGGAGACTGAGGGGACGGAGGCGGGTTAAGGGTCTGATCGTTACGGTTACACGGCACAGCACCGACACATTGGGGAAGAAGAAAAACGTACTCTGGCGGAGGCATCTTGTCTGGATCCACATCTTTTAGAAACTCGCTGCTCAGTGCTTGTTCCGCTGCGCAGCGTTTGCTGGGGTCCAAGTTCAGCATGTGGTCAAAGAGGTCAAGGGCAGACAGTGGGATGCTACAGAGCAGCAGAAGCACAAACATCAAAATCAAACAATGACGGGCCAAGAGCACTAAATATGACATGTCTCTGACATTTGATTTACTTACAAAGCAAATTCCTCCCTTAATCGTCTCCGGTATTGCTTCTTTGGTTTCATGGTGTTGAAGAAGGGAAGCTTTATCACATCTGGCCACACAGCAGGACAGGGGCTGCCACATATTCGACTACAAGACAGAAGTTCATTTGTTCCAGCAGAATGCCGCTACATGCAAACATGACATATACAACACAGTCGATCTCCCTTTTTTCAGCTTGTGATTAGTAAGAGTGAGAAAAAGACCACAGAAAAACAAGCAGTGTCCCTCCTACTTCTTACCAACACCAAAAAAAAAAAAAAGTTAACACTTGATGGTTATCCATTCGTGTAGGCGGTCTGTCTCCTCTGAAGGAAGTCTGTTAACCAGTTATTCTGACAAGTAGGTCACAATAAACTAAATGAAGCCTGTAAATCTAAACATCACCAGTTAACCAAGACTGTCAGAGCCTGTCCTTTGCTTCCTGTGTCTTTTTTATCTGGTTAAAGAACTTAGCAGACACTTACCTGATGAGCTCTAACTGGGCAAGCTCCTGGTTAGCTTGAAATATGGGTTTCTTTGTGAAAAGTTCTCCAAGAATGCATCTGCAAGACACAAAAAAGATGCAAATTAGGATTACACAAGTATCTACACAAAGAAGATTATCAGAAATGTAAACAATCAAACATCTGCCTTTGTCTTACCCACAGCTCCACACATCGATAGCTGGGGTGTACCTCTCTTCTCCCAGGAGCAACTCAGGGGGACGATACCATAGTGTGATCACTTTATTTGTGTACGGTCGGCTGAAATGACATGAAAGGTTGTAATAAACGGTAATAACATATCTACCTGTAATAATAAACGGCAGCCCCTCTTACAGACTTGTTTCATAAGTGAGACACTTTTACAAGAGTGCACGTACCTCTCTTCGGAGTTATACAGCCGAGCGAGACCAAAGTCTGCAAGCTTTATTTGACCTCTGATTAGGGGAGAGAAACTAAACTGATTAAAGCCGGTTGGGAAACATCTTTCACCATGTGACTTAATATTAAAAGGACTGTTTGGTCCTGAAAAAAAAAAACTGCATTCTCACTTGTTATTGAGCAGAATATTGGAGCACTTGATGTCTCTGTGCAGGAAGTTCTTTTTGTGGCAGTAATCCAGGCCCTCGAGCAACTGTCGCATGAAAGACTTTATATGGTTCTCATTGAAGTGAACCAAACCCGACTCCAGCAGACCCATCAGATCATGATCCATGTATTCAAACACCAGATAGAAAGCACCTAAATCAAAGAACAAACAGCATTCGGATCCAGTGGCTTTAACTTGAATGGTTTGGAAAGTGAAATGTAAAGAAAAACTTGTATCACCTTTATCGTTTTTGAAATCCAGAGCATCCTCCTTGTCTGTGACAATCTCCTTCATGTTTATGATGCTCTTGTGGTTGAGCTGTCGCAAAATTTTAATCTCTCTGATGGCTGTGATTGGGAAGCCCTCCTTTTCATTGTCCAGGCGCACCTTCTTTAAAGCCACCATTTCAGCTACAAAAGAACAAGAAAAGTTCAAACCCAGACAGCCTTTCACATGTGGCTTGAAAAAACTAAATCTGCCTATTGTGATCAATAAAAGATTACATTAATAATAGATCCCAGACAAAAGTGCTCAAGAAACAGTGGTGACTGTTAATCTCAAACGTACCGGTGTCCTTGTCTTTTGCCTTGTACACTTGACCATAGGTACCTTCTCCTGTGATGCCAATTATCTCAAACTTGTCCACACAGCGTTTTCCCCAATCTATCTCAATTTCTTTAATCTCCCCATACCTTGGACCACAAATTCTGTGAATAAAAAGAAAACATTAAACAAAACTAAGTCACGCCTACAGCAGTGGGAATGGTTAACATTGGACTATGGTCATGGTGACATACTTGGGTCTTCGGCGAAGGCTCTGGGACTTTTTGTCCTCGGGAGGGCTGTGTGGAGAAGACGAGGCACCCGGGAGCTCCGGGGGCAGAGGCAAGTCGCTCAGAAGCTGCCGAGCCTTCTTCTCCAACTTCTTCTTTCCTGAGAGTGCGCTGTCCTTCAAGCTGCAAAGATTTAAGAAGAGAAAGCAACACAGGCAGCTCAAAAAAACTGACCCACAAACAAAAACACAGAAATGGCAGATAGAGTTGAGCCATTACTGGGATGTGCGGCCATACCTTTCTGCTTTATCCGTGTGCTCAACAACTGTTTGGGGCAGTGGTAGCGGTGGCAGAGTGGACAGAACCGGACCACTGGCCTTTTCCTTATCTTTGCTCTGTCCAGATGCTGGTGCTTTCTTCTTATCCCGTTGTATGGAGTCTTCTCTGGCTTTTCCATCATTGTCCCTGCTGGCCTCGTGCTCGGTGGTCCTCTTAGCCGACTTATCAGTGGGGGACTGAGGCTGACACATGGGTGGAGTCCTGGGTCCCTTCTCTGGCGGAGGCGGAGAAGGAGGGCGGCCCTTCCTCGCCGTGTGATTTGTTTTGGGGCTGGGCTGATGAGCAGACGAGGGCCCCTTGGTCGGAGTGGAAGGGTTGCTGGAGTTCTTTGCCTTGGCGGCTGCTTCCGCGGCTTTCACTTTCTTCTGCTTACTGAGCTCAGCGGCCAGACTGGTTTTGAACGTTAGCGTGCTGGGGGAAAGGCTGGAGGGGCGGCTGCGGGAGCGAGAGTGGCGATGGCGGCTGTGGGAACGCGAGTGCCTCGTGGATGAATATGGACTCCTGCTGCGTGAGCGTGCAGATCGTCTGGAAAGAAAACAATGAGGAAAGCCATGAGGAAAACATAGGAAGCAGTATTATGGCCAGAAGAAAAAAGCATTCGTACAAAAGTCATAGGTTAGGTTATACAAAGTATTAAAACTGTAAAAAAAAAAGTTGTAAACAATATTCCATTATTTGTGTAATATTTAATTGACCATAATAAATAAAAAACAGTAAATCTATTCCTTAGCGTTGTACAGCTAGAGTTACGCTCAGCACTTACATCTGAACAACTGTTACCCCATAACATCATAATGAACTCACCATAGTGGTGGATCAATAACTAAATAAAACTGCATTCCGAGAACTCACCTGACATCTGGACTTGGGCTCAGGGACTTCCTGTAAGGACTTCGTGATCTTCTGCGGTTCCCATAAGGACTTGAGACAAACTCGCCTTGCTCGTACGGACTGTGTCGGCCATAGCTTGGTGACCGCCGCCAGTTTGCTGGGCTCGCAGGGGATCGCTTCCTCTTATTACTGGAGTATGAACTTGGTGACTTTGGCGCACTATATGAGCCATACACGTCTGAGTCCCGGCTGTAGTATGTGGAACTGGGAGAAAGTCTTTTACTCCCATAAGTTGGACTTCTTCTAGATATCAGCTGGTTGTAACCAGGAGACTGGTAGCTATAGGAATATGCTGTCCCATAGGGACTGTCTGCTTTAAAACCAGGACTTCTCCTGTATGCCCTGAGGTCTTCACGGTCATCTCTATAAGACTGAGGAGCATCTCTGTATGCAGATGGGGGTTCTTTATCGGGCCTTGTTTTGCTTCTATGCCTTTTTGAATCCCTTTTATCTGCAGGTTGGGATGGCTGGGATGTAGATGTCTTTTTGCCATTTCTATCACTGCTCCTAGTAGTGTCTCTGGGATTTTTAGAGCCACTTAGGCTGCCCCCGCTCCTGACTTTTGAGGAGTCTCTCTCGCGACTCTGGCGATCTTTTTTCCTCGTCAGCTCCTTAACTTGCTTGTTCTTCTTGGACGGTGCCCTTGTTTGTTCGTCTTTACTGGGGCATACAGGTTCCCGGGTTCTCAAGCGACCTCTGCCTGGGGATGCTGGTCCATTATAGTCCCCAAAGTCAACGTCGCTGAGGCGATCCGCGGACAGACTGTCAACATGGGGCTCAAGTTTAGGCGAGGGGCTCCCCGAAAAACGCTCCGACTGAGAGCTCACGTCGTCATACTCCACTAAAGTCCGAAGTTCGAGCTCTTTTTCAAAAGCGTTTTTTCGGTCGTTGTCGGGGTCTTCTGTCGTACCGGCATGGCACAAGTCTCTATCCTTGGGTTGCCTGCGTTTTTTTCTCCTCGAAGCCGATGACCGCCTCTTCTCCCGGTGTCTGTCTCGCTGAGCGGCGCCGCTTCCAGGCTTGCTACGCCTGTCCAGCCTGTTAGCATTTCTCGGTGGTGAGGGGCTACGACCCCGACCGTCGCGAAGCACCTCCGAATTGGGCATTATCCTCCAAAATAAAGGCTATTGCCAACTTAAAAAAAAACAAACAAAAAAAACAATATAAAGCGGTTTGCCTACACTATGTCCCTTGTTGTGTCGTATAACAACACATTGGGCTAGCTGTGTAACAGGCTACTTAGCTGACGTTACAGTAAATCCACAATTAGACAGCCTTAGCATAACAGAAGCTCGTACGGTTGGGGTTTTAGGACTTTGTCTTCGCGGTATTTGGTGACACTAGGTGCCAGACGATACCGTCACTCTAAAATAATAATACAGTGCTAAGTTAAAGAACCAGTCGATACTCAGCCATTGTAATCCAGAGCGGACATCTCCCAAATTCGATAGCTAATGCTAATCGGTTTAGCCAGCTAGTGGAGACTGGCTAACTGTTCACCTACACAGTCGCATTCCATTTCACAGTGAATGCACAGGCCCAGAGGAGCTCCAAATTAAAAATCAAGTTCCTCCAAAATGTAACTGTACGAACAATCTTGGAACTCCATTAATCAGACAATGTTAAAGTCTACGTGAATTAAAACTCAATCTTCTTCTCACAAAGTTCTTCTCGCCTTCCATCACACTCCGGTAACCAACAAGGAAGTGAATAGCATGCGAGTTCACCGCTAGCAGGCTAGCTCCCCGCTAGCAACTTAGCCTGCTATCTTTCTTTTCTCCTTGCGTGGAGTTCAAGGCAACTCACTCAATGTGTAGGAAAACAAAGCCATTCAAAGACACGTATGGTTTAACATATCCAACCCGACGGCTGCTCCGCCTGTGCTCGACGTTACCCGAAAGTCGCCAACGTCCTGCCGCGAAAATTGGCTCCAAAATCCCTTGAAATTATTTCCAAATATTAGAACTTTGTTCGCGATGTTGCTAACGGTACAGCTCGGCAGGGCCCAGACAGCTTTCAAACTACAGGCCTCGTGCGTCGATGAGAACCAATAGTACCCGTATGCGTAATCCAGCTCAGAGGCGACGTCACCACGAAGGGAAACCCTTCCCTTCAGAGTAGAACATTGTGATCGTCCCAGTTAGGACATGCGACATTAATTGATCTAAAAGCATTTCATTATTCTACTTAATTCCCTTACCAATTATGTAAAAACTAAACTTAATTACTTATACATATCTTGTTCAACAGTTGAAAGTTGCTTTAGATACGTGAACAAAAAAAGTAAAAAAAACGACAAGTTTCTCAATTAATGAAAAAGCTGCCAATCAAACAAGATAAAAAATTAAAATTCAACCTTATGTGATCATTAGCTGGCATCACTGTGCCATAGTTTCACGTGTCTATGACGTACGCAGCTTAAAACTGATAAACTGACATGAAACTTTCCATACTTCACATAACTCATTTTTTGTTTACAAATCAAGATCCTGAGCATGTGCATTCACAACAAATACAAATAGAAAATGAAACACGTATTTAAATTTGTAGTTCAAGTGTCTGGTTGGTGAATAAAGAAATGGATCCTTGTTAAGCCAACCAGCTGAGCACAAATGATTCAAATACAATTGGAAAATATTATTAGTAATATCCACTTTTATTTGCCATTTCCAAATAACTCACAAAAATGAACTGAAATGTAAGCTTCACCTCTTGCATTCACAAACAGGCTACATTAGTGGTTATGCTCAAAATAAGTAAACATGTTGGAAACATTTAACTGATGGCTTACATACAACCATCCAATCAAAAGAGTTATCTATTTTTACTCAAAGGGTATTTATATAAAAGAAGTTATTTGTATACCCAGTGGGACCGTTTGCTCGAAGCATTCACACAAACATCTGTTTTAGCATCCAGCTGAACATATTTGGGCCATCAAGTCTGTTAAATGATACAAAAGAAAGCAAGAATGTAGAGCTGTGAGCGTTTCCTTCTGAACGAAAAGGAAAGAGACTGTTTTAAGTGGATGTTACGGTTAGTGAGCATTATGGAGGTCTCCATGAAAGACCTCTAAAGACATACAGCTGATCGTGTAATGAAGGATGCAATAAGCCGGGATCCGTACATTGTGTCTCAGCCCCTGTGCCTCTCTCTTTAACTCTTAACGGGGGTTCACTTAGTGTGATGTACTGGAGGTTAGCCCTTGGAACAATTGAACCTGCTTCCCACGTGTTCTGTTGGCATGGCTTTCTAACATTTTGGGTGTGACTCCTGCCTATCCAACGCTTTCCACGGTGTGTGCTTTTTCAGTCAACAAGTAACCCCACAGACATTATTTTACATGATCTCTTAGGTCAACAAACACACTTCCCCGTGTGTACTCTGTGTCAAGTCAGGGTTGCATGCGCTCACATCTAATTAGTAAAATGCTTAACCTTTAGATGACGCTGCGTTTTCTGAGCTGCAATCCCATCTCTATCGGATTCAAGCTTAAGTGCTTCTCTTTTTAAAAGGTAGTTTACAGACATTGACAGTGATTTGAACTGCTTCCAGGTGTCACATTTCCTCTTTGCGTTTTGCATAGACTCCACGTATTTACGTCAATGATTGTGGATGGATCCGAGTGGACCCTGCCAAAAACTTCTGGGTGGCTGCTGGACTTTGTTTAATCACTATGGAATAGAGGGGAACCAAAATTGATAATAAATGGACCGGTCGTCGTTGGAAATAATAGGGTAGATGTCACAGTGAGTTTTTGTTCATGTGATTTAGCTGTTAATCACACACTGTCAACCTAACCTTCTCCTTGAATGTCACCCAATTACACAAGCAAGACAAAGCGGCCATTTTCTTTTGTTTTGGAAATCTGTTACTACAGCATTATAATGCAGGCTAGCCTGGCACAAGATGTAGCAAACGTCATGAAAGAAGAACAAGTGACTTCTAAACTCTGCACAGCACTGGCAGGCTAAGATTACAGGCGAACAGGATGAGAAAGTGGGATTATTCACATTCACAACGGACAGAGGCAACAGTGACGAACTGCACAAGAATTACTAAAGCCCTCGTAACCTCACATTTTCTCCAGAATCAAATCTTTTAGCTTCCTCTAACAGCCCGATCATTTCTTAAATAGTTTTTTTTTTCTGTTGTGTTGACTCTCAATGCTCATGATGGCAAATTGTCACTCTCTTGGATTAGAATGTGGGCACTTGTTTGTACTAGCTAGCAGTTTTCTTTGGTGACTCATGGCAATATCTTTATACCGGTACCACTTCACCCCTACAGAGCCACATTTTCTGTTCTCAGCTTTAAATTTCATCCATTCACCAATTTATTTCCACGTTAAGAAATGTCATTACGTAAAAAAAAGGAAAGGGGATAGAAAGCCGAGGGTTAAAAGTCAGAGCCGGGAAAAAGTTGAACAGGCTGAAGGTGAATTTACATGTCTGGAAGCAATCTGTTTAATGAATAAGTGTCAGTAGAGGATGTAGAGGATGTAGTGGTACGGAATCACCTTTTATCAAAGCACCAGGGATTCCTCTATTGCCAAAAAACGCAATTAAATAAAATAAAAAAAATGTAAAAGGCAATGAAAGTCATTAGCCAAGCAAGATAAAACTTCTGAAATGTTAAAATCGAAGTTCAAGTGTTGTAAAATCCCTCACAGGTTTAACAGTAATGATCCACGTTTGTGCATTAAAGAAGACTAAGTGACTGGGGGGGGGAAGTTAGTGTGCTCGTTTTACTCTCCTTCACTGGGTGCACGTGAAAGGGAACAAAGACAAAAAAAGTTAGAATTCACAATCAAAAGTAAAGCGAATGAACAAACCAGACGGGGAAAATGAGGTGCAAAAAGAGGAATGTCATCGGATTTCGGCTCTGGCTTCGATAATGAAGTGTCTCTTAAATGAAATCCTTCACATGTTCACCAGTGCTGCTGTGTGTACACTTCCTCTGTGGCACCGTATATTGACACTACACTGCTTAGTTTGTTAAGTGTGTCTTCCCTAGCAAAAACGGATGAGTCATTAGATGGATTGGTGCTTTCCAGTTTGGAGCTCCAGTTACATTTTCCCTATTCAAACCTCTTCTCAGACACTTTCTCTTTCATTCCTATTAGACTTGCACTGCACAGTTGTCTGAAGGTATACACACTGAACTTACCAATGAAAGGTTTAGGGACATTTCAGGGCTCAGCCTCTTCTCAAGCTTAGGCCTAAATTTAAAAAACAGCCAAATAAAAACATTATCCATCTATTAAACTCTGTTTTGTGGTCAGAGTCAGAGAGAAAACATAAATTATTTGGAGTGTCAGCACATAAAAAGTTAGAGCTATAAATGGTGTATGGAGTGCCACCTTACTATTCCTGACGCATGGTCAGATGTCCTGTTAGCCAGAACCAGAAAGTCATGGTCAGGTTTGGGCACAAAGTAAATGCAAAAGTCTGAGAAATGTATATGTACAGAAGCAGCTACCCTGCTCTCTTCGCCACTATAAAATACAGCATCTCTCTCGGATTCTCTTGGCCAGACTTTTACTTTTCTTCTTCCCGTTCTTTTCTTTGCTGTCCTCCATCTTTCTTGCCCGGATCTCTCGCATCAGGTCGAAGAACACCTGTAAAAGAAGGCAGGGGTCACATGTCTGGAGCTTTGCTCAGGGTCGGCCCGCTTCGCGACCGATGCGGACGCACCTTGTCGACGTTGGCGCGGGTTTTGGCGGAGGTCTCCACGTAGCACACCCCCCACTGCTCGGCGCGCGCCTTGGCCTCTTCGGCGGTGACCTGCCGTCGGTCGTCCAGGTCCGACTTGTTGCCGACCAGGAGGAAGGGCACGTTCTCGTCCTCCTTCACCCGCAGGATCTGCTCCCTGTGGGACAGGTCAGGGTGAGCCCGCTGCTGAGCTGAGCCAGCTTCAGTCCTTCAGAATGATTCTCGAGTCGCAATGTTGTACCTGAAGTCTACCGTTGCCGCGAACGACTCCAGCTCTGTGATGGAGAACACGCAGAGGAATCCCTCCCCGCTGCGGAAGTAGTTATCCCGGATGGCTGCGTAGTCCTCCTGGCCGGCTGTGTCAAGGATGTCAATCTGCACCTCCTCTCCATCCAGCACCACTTTCTTCCTGTAACTGTCGGCTTTGGTCGGCTCATAGTCTTCGACGAACTACGGAGCGGGGGAGAAACAAACAGCACTTGTTATGGAGGAAACACCCCCTCCGGAGTTTGTTGGAGTTTTCGCTCGACCTGGCTCACCTCGTCATACATGAACTGGAGGGTAAGGGCGGATTTCCCCACTCCTCCGCTGCCCACCATGATCACTTTGTGAAGGGCCAGGGAGTTCTGTCCTTTTGGCTTTGCAGCTGCCATGATTCTGTAGACGTGCTGTGAGAGGGAGAGAGCTGCAGGGGGCTAGAGGAGCTGTGAAAAGGAGATCGTACGAGGAGTCCAGGTGCAACGGAGGGCTCGGGGAGTCCTGCAGACGTTAAAAACAAAAGAGAGAGGAAAGAGGTTGCATCATCATTTCCAAATCTTTCTTGCTCCTGTTCTGCAGGTAGACTGCAAATTTGGGGAAGCCGAGGAATAACAAAAACAAAAAAGGTGCCGTTCACAGTCAGCCAAAGCGGTCAGCAACAGCATTTTGTATGAATTGAACTGAATTACTCAATGCATGCAGAAAAGCTGTGATCCCTAGGGAGCTCTGTATTTAAAATGACAGCTTTATGAAAATAGAAATGGACCTATGTAAATGACAAAGATCATTTCTGCATTAAAGAAAAAGAAAGCTTGTTAAATCTCAAACATGAAATGAGTAAAACCCTAAGAAAACAAGGTGTAAACATGCTCATCATTCTTTCAGCCAAGTAGATAAATAAAAACTAATAAACTAAATCCAAATCTGGAATTTAAAGTACTGGGGTTCATCAGTCTCCAGACAAAATGTTGCTTTAAAAGTAATGAAATCCAAAGTTAAACAGCATTGTTTCCATTATAATCAAGGTAAGTTAACATGATTTTAAAGAAAGAAAATACTACTTTTCATCTTTATTCTTTAATTTGCATCTTTTCCCCTTAAGTAAATAAGTGTGTTGTTTCCCAGTGTTAAGAAGGTCATATGAAATGGATAAGCACTAGGCAGCACTAGGCAGCTTCCAATAGCCAGTCAGGAGCCTGTGAAACACATTTATTAAAGAAATAAAATGTTAAAGCTCTAGGTGACATCAGGGAGTTTTCCCCCCGATCTCAAACAATATATCAAATCAGACAGATACAACAGCTGTCTAGTAGCCAGTTCCCCAGAGTGGATTGTTCATGGCAAATATGAGAAAAGTATTTTTGTCCAGAAGTGCGTGTATGTGTGCACGTGTTGTAAGGCCCTGTTTCTCAATAACGGGCCGAAGCAGACCCCTAGGGATGTGGGGGTAAATATGGGATATCTGCCATTACATCATTAGACAAAATAACAAGTATCAATGGACTGACAGTCAACATCAGGATTTAGTAACAGAGGAAAGAGCTTTTTTTGAAATAGTAGATAAGATGCCCCCAGCAATGGACGTTTGAATTGTATAAATAATAACAAAAAGCTATCACATAGAGATACCAAATGGCTGTTATAAGGAAAAGCGAGTACAAAGACACAGTCACATGTAGGTAACAATGTATAACACACAACCGCTGTCATAAACCTTATCAATAGGGAACACATCAGCAATGGCATGCACGAAACCAGCACGTCAAGAGTGATGGGGTTAGTCTCAAATCCCACCGAATGGGAGCCAGGTCCGTTACACTAACACCCAATGTCACAAATAATTACGGATAGGATAAATAATCACGTTAACTGAACTCCAAGTCCACCGGTGACATTTTAATTGCCATTAATCGAGCTAGTAGGTTGACGAGGCGATGTGGCTAATAGCCTTTCCCACCGGGCAGGTAAACGTCACCTGACTCTTAATTAACGAGCGGATGAGTTTCCAACTGACGGTAGCGGTGCGGGAAACGCCTAAAAGGCGAATCTTTAAAATCGAATCCCCAGCAACAGATGCTCGGTCGATGCTTTCAAAACTCAGCAGCCTCTTCGCTAGCAAGCTAGGCAGGGAGAGGCTACCCAGGCAAGAGACTAACGAGCGATAACAAGCAGCTAATCACAGCAACAACCAAAAAAAAAGGAAAAAAAAGCGAGAATAATCTTGACCGAGACCGTTGCAACGCCTGTTTATGACACGGACCACCTACCAGTTAATTAAGCTGTTTTCGCTTAGGCAAAAAACGGTCGACGAAGGCTGAGTTGCGGAGGCAAAATTAAAAGAGTCAGCTAGCTACTTGTTAGCTCATGGCTAGCTCCGTGGCTAACTCCAGAGACTCGGCTGGTAGCTGTTAGCGGCAGACTCACTGCACGTCCTGTGGGCTTGGCTCAGTCTGACAACGCCCGCCCGCCTGGGAGACAGCCAGACGGCAGCCAGTTTTACTTTTGTTTGGATCGATTTCGTGCCTATTTTTTAAAAACAAGAAACAAACGGTTGTGGGAAAACACAAATGATAGTTTTAATGCATGTTGTATCCAAACGAATGAAGGTTAGGGAAACTGAACATTCATGTGATGAATTAATTAATTAATTAATTAGCTAATCCGCATAAATGTTGCCACGTTTGTCCACGCAGAAAATTTGATATATTTTCTGTTTTAGTTCCCCTTTTTTTGGTAAAGTATTTTCTACAAACTGTTTTTATTTAAATCAAAGTTGCTGTTCAGTTTCAGCTGCAACAATGTCAGAACATTATAAGTACAATTATTTAAAATGGAAGAAAAGTAGGTTCAGGCTGGTGATTATACGTAATGTTTTTGCTCCTTTTGTTTTGCTTTTAGTGATGAAGAAAAATACCATTATTTCTAACCTGCACCATAAGTTTGCGGAGAAGACCTGGAATGACACTTTTTATCTTGTTCGAAGATGCATGGTGAGACCAGTTTCTGATGAATCTACCTCTACTTCCTGTAGTTTTTTATGATCTACACAGACATAGTTATTTCCTATGTGAGTGAGGACTAGATACCGGTTAAAATGGGGTCTTTAAAATGATAATGTGCTGTGAACCGGGAACTGGATGGTGATGCACTCCAATTAGATCATCTGCACTGAAACACATCCGTCTTTGTTGTTCGATCAGCAGTTTGTGCACAGACTGCCATCACATCTCTTTCTGGATTTGCTGTATGCATGACAAGCTCTTAAAACAAAACACAGCTGCTTGACAGTTTTTTTGTGTGTATTTTTTAACGATGCATCTTTACAGCATAGGCTTTACCGCTTTATCATTTCAATCCTTTTTTATTTTCTGGCAAGAAAGCCACTGCTGCTGAATGTAATCAGCTCTTCTGCAGCACTCACTTTGAAATCAATCTTCATGCTTTGTTTTTGCTCATGTAGTTGTAAGCAATTGGGTTGAATTTGAAAAGTAACACTGACTTTTGTGAGAAACCTCTTCAGAGAGGGCTATGTCTTTATATTTGTTCATGGGCAGAGCAGCTGGGTGGATTAATTCAAAGTAGAGCTTGGCAGTGGTCAGTCTCTCGAGTCTGGTAAGAAAACTTGATTGCTTAGTGGGCTGAAGTGATGTGTGGTCGAAAGGGATAAGGCATTTGGGATTTATTATATAGCTGTCTGCCAGGAGGGATCATGAAGAACATGCAAACCATCAGGTACAGTGCATAATGTGTTTTCTCCCACAGAATTCCCAAAAGGTTACTTTATTAAACGCACATATCCCGAAGCTCAAGGCATTTAAATTTCAACATCCCCCTTTCCACGGTGTGATTCAGCTGGTGTTCCCTGGCGGGATGGACAGACCGGACCAAAGGCCGCTGACACAAAGCTCACAGTGAAGCACAACTGGGCCATTGTTGTTGATTTCTTCTCTTTGTCCCCAAAAAAGGAGAAATCCAGAGATGAATCCAAACCCTGTGAGCCGCTGGTCCGATCCCTGGAAAGACTCCAGGAAGTACTCCGAGGTAGTTAAACAAATATTCCAGTTATCGTTGTATGTTGGACCACACATTTCTGCCTCACTGAGTTTCTGTATGTCTCAGCACCCTTTGCGAACATCTCAAGGCACCGCCTGGAAATGATAGCCAAGCAGCAAGGGTACAGAGTTCATTTATTTATTTTTACTTCCCTTTATTTGCATTGAAGTAGCTGATATGTCTTTTTAGTTCTACCAAATACCCCTACTGATCCTCATTATCATAAATCTACATTTTCTACTGTCTGCTGCGATGCTAATAATATTCAAGTGGCACGGCCTGATCCATATTCATGCCGTCTGCACAGGATGGGCTTTCACATTACAGAGGACACATGCTACCTGACGGCTGACTTGTTCTACCTGGAGGTTTTCCTGCTTCCATGCGGTGGCGTACAGGAAGTAAAGGTGGCTCCACATGGAGAAGCCCCTGCCGTGAGTGGACTCAACTCCTCCCAATAACCCGAGTGAAGCATTCCCTCCCTCTGCTTGCTAATTAATTGAATTTATCTCATAGCCAAGCGAGTCACTTCTGCAGCTGCTGAGGTAAGAGTGGCGGTGTGTGGTAAATTAACATGTCTGACATTCTGCTTGCTGCTACGAGCACCTTAAACCTCAAACTGTAGAGGTCAACACCGTCGAAGTAACATAAAGGTAGATATTATAGCTTTACATGCTGACTGCTCTCCTTTTTCACTTCTCACAAAGATCCAGAAATTTTGTCGATTTCTCTATGAAGCTGAAAGGCCTTTTCACCCAGTACAACATCCCTGGAGAAGAGTAGGGATTCTATGAATATACATTTCTGAACAATTGAGATTTCATATGGTCATTTAGCAACTTCTGCTTCTTTTTTTTCCGTTTTTTTAGTGAAGTCAAATATAAATTGCTGGCATCTCTACAATTTCTTGTGAAAGACTTGCAACACATCTCAAATTTGCCAAGGTGAGCACTTAGCATATCTGATTGGACAAATCAGAACAAATCATCACCATGTTTTTATTGTGGTTTTCAACCATAGTTGTTAGAATAAAGGGTTCATTTGTTTCCCCTGCTTTCAGGGAGCCTCAGCACTGTGACCCCGAAGTGGAGTTGATTAATAATGGCAGAGTTGGCTGTCTAATGTCAGAAAAAGAAGGTACGGGTGTACAAGCATGTCAGCTATATGTGTACATTTAAGAATATTTTTATCCTTAACGAGGAAAATGTCCCTCTTTTAGATTGCCCCATAATAATCCAGTTCTATGTCCCCCCGACTGAAAGGACCACTTCAGATTCACGTAAGAAGCAAACATAAGTTGCAATTTCTCTGCTAAATAGTGTAAAGTATCAGTGCTCTTACAGTGAAAGATTTCTCTGAAAAGCGTTCGGAGAAAGTGATTTGGAGCCAGTAGTCCGGGCTGCTCAGGTTACGGTCGGTGTCAGTGACCAGGCTCACAGGCTCCAGATGGCATCTGTTGTCCCTCAGCCACCTCAGCTGGATCCTCAGGGGTAAAAGAGCGTTGGTTTTAATCGGTCGCTCAGCAGAAGGCTTTTTTTTTCCTTTGGACCCTTCTGAAAAATCACAGTTTCTAGTTGTTGGTGTTAACAGTGAAATTGTGTCCTGGGGCAGATGTCCCGTGTTTATTCCGCTGAGTGAGGTGCCAAACGAGCTGCTGCCCGCCTGTTTCCTGCTCAGGCTGCAGCCAGCAGTACCCATGATGTCATCATTTATCGAGAAGCTTGGATCAATAACAGGTTAGAAAATAACATTGCGTAAATACCCTACTTTAAAAAAAAAATCAATATAGGAATCTTCCCTCTTGTTCTTCTTCTGTTTATTTTTTTCCCCATAGGTGTGTCAGTAGCTCATGCCGACCTGCAGTGGGCGCCATTACCCAAGATTCTGATGGAAGGTTCACTGAGGCCAAACAGCCACAGGGAGACGTTTGACAACCAGAACATCTTTACAGTCGTAGGAGCATGCTCTTTTGCTTTAGTGGATGTGATATATGTCCGTAAGGATCACAATGTAAGCATCAGATGTAATGTCTGGGGTAAAGATGATGGGAACTTGTCCGTGCAGCCTCTTCCTGGCGGTGTGGTGCACAGCTACGTTCTCCCCGGAGGCGAATGGGCCGCGCCAGCTCTCCGAGCGGCCGTGGTGGAGAGCGTTCCCTTCAGCCACCCGGCTCACGTCCCAGCCCTGCTGGAGCTGCTGCGCCACCAGTGCTCCATCAACACTCTGCTGAGTAGCTGCTTCTCCGTTCAAGACGACCGTCCAGGTGGGAGGAGGTTTCAGCCACAAAATCGCCCTCGCGTGTTCATGATTTTTTTCCCCTAAATGTTGTTTGAGCCTTTTTGTATAATGACATTGATGCAAATCCCATCAGGGCGGATTTGTGACCTACATTTTGAAGTTCTTCCAGAGTCTGATACCAGCTTTTCCGTGACCTTCCGCCTGCCGCACTCCAACTCCCTTACTGTTTGTAAGCATTCATTATGTGGATTATTGATACAAAAGATTAAAGTATTATCTGATTCATAGCAACCAGGGCAGGAAACTATTTGACGCTTAATCCTTTAAAAGATTTTTAGGCAAAGTTGCCAAACATTTAGGAGTGCAAACTGGTCAAATATGACTATTAAAGTCAGCACCGTACAAAGGACTGCTGTTCTACATCACTCTTTGTGGTGTTTGACAGATGAGGCTCGCCCTCATGTTAACTTGTGACATTTGTAAAATAATGGTACGACTTATCCTGTTGGTTTGTGGGAAATTGTATGATTTAAGTGTCAGCTGTAATACAGTATGGACTCGCTTGTGTCCACAGTGCTGGTGAACGTATGTAACCCCCATCAGATTACCTGCAGATTGTTTGGAGGAGGAACATCTGATCTCTGTCTGAATGAATATATCTCCACGGTTGTGAAACGGTATGCTGACTCTTTTTTTAAAGTTTCTTTCTGTTTTGGCTTCCAAAGGCCTAAAATTGACTGCAAACTGTCAACATTTCTCCCATTGCTTTCAGCTGCATGTCCATTCCTGTGACCATGAGGGCACTGTACAGCAGGCTGCAGGAGGTCACCTCTGCCCCGCTCTCGTCCAGCCGCCCGGCTGCCACAGAGCCCGAAAATGACCACTCAACTGGGATGGACACCAGCGCAGAAGAGACGGCCAGGCTCTCCCAAAACGCCGCTGTGCCAGAGGATGGCGGCGGCAGCCCTCCTGGTTCAGCTATTTGTGCCGTTTCTGAACCCAAATCTGAGCTTCCTCCTGAAATAAACAGCAGCACCCACGCCAGCCCCTATCTGTCCGCTCCGGTCGGTGTGTGTCTCCACTGGATGGGGGGCAACAGCAGACGGACAGAACCCATCTAAACATTTTTTAAATCGACGTTAAGAAACATTAGATGTTGCTTAGCATCTTTTTTTGTTTTGTTTGTTTTTTGTTAGTTTAAGATGCTGATGTCTAACCACTGGAGGTGGAATTCATCTTACTATGCATTCCAGTGAGGCAGAGATTGCTGGCTGTAAAGGTTTGAGGTTTGGCATTTGACCTGAGACGGCCAGGAGCCCAGTTGCTTGGCACAGCGTGATCCAGTCGAACCAAACTCCCGCGGACTCTCAGAGCAAACGCATTTATGTCAAACAAGAAACAGAAAAGTAAAACAGTTCTGAAGCAACGTTCTCATTTTTCCTGTTGAGAAAAAAAAAGTTCGGTATGTTAAAACAGTGGCATTTGGTGTGAAGGCGTGGGAGCTGAATACCTCTGTGGGGTGGAAAGTTTGCAAGAAGAAATCTCTTGATTACTGCTGTGGGTAGTTGGGCTTTTTTCTGGACCCATGCCAGGACATCTACCGATATAGAACAGATGACCGGCCTGCACACAAACGCTCTGTGTTCTAATCCAGATAGGAATTATGTGGAACAGAGAGTTGGAGACAATCGGGCACGGGAGATCTTTCAACAGTTGCCACATGGGGAGGGATCGAACATGAATTCAGAATATTTGGTCACCTGTCAACAGTAGCCAACTGGCTTTGTCTGCTGCCTTTACTTCTACATATCCAATGACCTGTACGACTGCTATTCATAGAAACATTCCTGTTTGTGGTTAAAGCTCTCTCTTCCTCCACAGGGGCTATGTTCCCCGAATATTTCCGAGATTATGTGTCCTCCCTCCTGATTGGTTGTGAAGAAATCCATAAAAGTGACACCTGGTGACGTTATATTTAGCGTTTTATCAAATATACAACAATAACATCTTTTAGTGCTGAGTAAATTGGACTTTTGTGTCAAATTGCCTGCGAGTTTGCAACTCGTTAATGTTGCCTTTGAATAAATCCTGACTCAGTGTTGATCCGTTTTGGGAGAATATATAAATATGTCTATATCTGCGTCCACATCTTCTTTGGTCTGCGGTCTCTTTAAATCCAAATCCAGTGGACGGGAGTTGTGCGTCCTTAAAAAAAAAAAAAAAAAAAGTTGTCTGGCCTCTGCAACTGCCCGCACGCAGCCTGTTAAACAGCTGCTTACCATTTAGGGAACTTCACCAAGTTTTTCTCCGACCTCCTCGAAATCGGGATTGTTCTGTCTGCCGCTCTGAGGCTGCGGATGTTTCAGATACAGAGAGTCTGTCTGCGCCGCTGGAAGCGCAAATCTGGATTCTGGGTTTGCGTAACGCTCAGGCGTCCTCTGTCCAACATCTGGATTAACTATTTGAAGTCGCAGCTAACGGCCCTGCTGCACAAGACTCCTGCCCGTGTAGCCTATCTTTGTGGACAGACTGCCTGTAGCTCTGGAGTTCACCGTGAAAGCCCGAGTTTTTGCGCATAGATTATGTATTCTCTAGAATGGGTGCGAACAATGGAAAACAGTACGGGAGCGAGGGTAAGTGCTGCAAATGGTTAGTTATAAATACATTTAATATGTATTCTTCTCTGAAACACGACCCTTTAATCTCTGTCTGTTTTGGGGGCAAAAAAAGCGTTATGTTGGCGCTATTTGCGACTTTTTCCTCAGACTCGGACTAAAAATAGATAACCATGAAGGGTATGAGTTTCCTCGAGTTTATGCCCAGACATCAGTTAGCTAGCTTCAAACTAGCAGCATCCCTTTATTTCTCATTTTAATTGGTTTGAAGCTTTTTTCTTTGTCTTTGTGGAGTTGGACTCATTTTTCTCGCGTGTCAGGCTGATTTTGGGGACAAAAGGTGGAACCAACTCGCTGCTTTTTTACGCATTTGAAGTATGTTCAACATTTATATTTGTCATAAAAGACAGAGAGTGACATCTGGTGGTCATATTTCCCCCCCCATTATGATGTGAATATATTCTCCTCCTTGTCTCAGGGAGCCACCTCCTCATAGTTCTTCTGAACTTTCTGTTTCTGAATAGTTAAAGTTTCCCAGGTGTTGGCCTGATGTGCAGAAGTTTAAATGAGTCAAAAGATGATGGGATTTGGCCAATAATGTAGATATCGATTCTCATAGGCACAATTGGATGCAAGATTACACACCTGGTTGCCTGGTTTTTGTCTCTTTTTAAAATTTCCTTAAGGAAAAGTTTCCCCTTTGCTGTTTGGGTATCTTGCTAAAAGTTCTTGAGATTATTTTTGTCCATTATCACAGAGCCATTGTCGCTGTTATTGGACTTGGGAGCCATTTTGTACATACCGGTCAGCTCATGTGGTCTCTGTGTCTCATGCCATAGTAATAAATGTTTTTCTCCCTCATCATCTGTCAGTGCATTTGAATATTTATTCAGATTTAGGCTAAATTAGCAGTTAACCGCATGGCTGATGAAGTATTTACAATGTTAAGGAGCCCTGGCAGCTCCTTGCTACTGTAAATATTATTTTTGGGTGGAGCATCAGAAACAGGAATGCTTAGAGGACAAGTAAACAAAAATGGCAAATTCATGTTGATCAGCACTTCAAGGAACTAAAGGAACCATCTAGCTTTATCTTTTGTCATTAAGAAAAGTCTTGGAAAAGTCTAAAATGGTCAGAATTGATGAGATGCGTTCGCTGGCTGCCGGTTTGTTTCTCAGAGTCACGGCAACGCAGCATTAAAACTTGTTTTCTAAGACACCGCCTGAATCTGTCAGCTCGAATCCCACAGACCAATAACATGGAACATCTGGCATTAATGAACCGGGGGGGAAATCAGCCCAAAATGGACAGTCGGAGCCGCTTCTGCTCTCTCCGAACAGGGCCCGGGCTGCATTCTGCCTGCTTTTCCTCCCCCTCGTGCACAAATTTTCAGCTCTCGGAAGAAGAAACTGCAGCTCGGCCCCAGCCAAATGCATTATTCCTGCCCCCAGAGCGCAGATGTTTGTATAAATAACATTCCAATGAGCTCTCTTCCCTAAGTCAATAAGTCCAGAGAAAAGGTTGGAACTCGTGATTTTTTAAAGATAACACGTGGGCCGGCTCTTCCTCGGAATCCAGGCGGCCGAAGGTACCCGAGCGGGGTCTCTGAGGCCGGCTGTGTGTGTGGGCTCGTGCAGGCCTTCTGGACACTTGAACGCATCAAATCCAGAAGCGTGAGCAGGTTGTTTGGAGGGTGGGGCTCTGGCTGCTTGGTTGGAGACTCTCGAGTGGAGCTAGGCTGTGACAGCTGGTGCGTCGGGTTACAGGAGAAGCCTCACTGCTGAGGGTTCCTCACTCCCTTTGTTCAGACCCAACTGATGCTGAGTCAGGAAACATGGCTAAAGGCCGGTTACCGAGAGCCAAATCTCCTTTAAAAATAAGGAAATTAGCTGCTTTTAAACACGTTTAGAAACAAAAGAACTGTTCCCTTTGCATTTAAAAGTCATTTCCACCTTGTATTCATACAGGTTTTGTGGTATCCCACCTGTGTCCATCCTGAGGTGGGCTTGTGGGTACTCAAACCTGGTCACTTTTTAAACGTGTCCATTTTTGGCTGAGTCAAAGCAAAACTCATCTCCTCAGAGAAAGTGTGACTCCTCCAGCGTCTGACTGTGACCCAAAAAAAAAAGAAAAAAAGAACGCCGGGCCACTGGACTTTTCCCGAGGACTGATTCTGATTCAATTCGAGCCATTTATCAGAGAAAGGCTCTTGGTTTTAGAGTCCCTGAGTGTATTTTCCTAATGCGATCGCTCCTAATGCTGAAGATTTCACAATCTTGAATAAAATGACTGAAACCAGCTTCAAATAGCCATTTCTCCTAATGAACATTCATGTTAACCACTTCTATTCGTGACCAAAGAGACACCCCCCCCCACAAGACGTTGCATTTTATCTATGCCATGTCTTAGTTTATGTTTTGTTTTTGTGTTTTAAGCAGGGGGGAGTTGCACAGGCATTAAAACTCCAGCAGAGAAGCACTGTGAGTAATGTAGGGGGTTAGAGTTTGATCAAGGGCGATGATAGATGTGGAAAAAAAAAGAGAGATGTGGCCCAGCTGCTTTGTTTTTCCTCCTTTTTTTGTCTCTGATCAGGAAAAGCAAGGCAAAATCAAACGAGAACCCTTGAACGTGTTTTCTTTTGCTGTGTACTCGGAGTGGGGCGGAGGGGGTTATTGTTGCTTTCTAGTGCCGGAGACCGGTGTCTTACAAGTGCCGAATTCTGCAAGCCATCAGCCCACATCTGTTTTCGAGTGCATCGCCACAATTAATTACACACTGGTGCAGCTATGCAGCACCCATCCACCAGCATTATGTAAGCGCACGGCAGGGAGCCTGTGCCAATATACAACAGATGACCGGCTTCTTTATGGAAGCTTATTTTCCTCCAAAAAAAGATAGAAAAGAAGCCTGATCTTAGAATACATGCCCACCATCCCTAATACTCGATGCTCCTCCCTCCAGTGCCACACCGTGGATGGATTTGGGGTCCGGGTGTGTTCTTTTTTCTCATCCTCAAGCTTCTTATAGTCACAGCAATACTTTCGGGGAGGCGTCCGGGTCAATATTTGCATGTGGGTGTGGCCGGGGGGGGGAGCAGCATCACTGAAAAAAGGCACGTACTTACTCTCAGGAATGCCTCAAAGCTGCATTTATGATCTGACAGAGGGACGAAAATGCCATAAAACAACCTCTCCAGAAGCAGCCTGCAGTCATGGAAGCGCACATTCAGTTCAGTTTTTCTTTTTAAAAAAACCTGAAACTCCTGTGCTGTAAAACCTGATGTCAATAAAGCAAACATATCCCACGAAGGAAGAGGTTTAAATTCATGTTGACCCGATAAAAAAAACACTTTGAAGTATGCCTGCGATGATATACAGTCTTTCATTAAACGCTCATATCTTCCTCCGGGGCTTTTCCTCACCAGGTTCTGTGTGGGTCAGTGAAGACCGGAGGAGGATTTCTGCAGACTTTAAAATATGGAGAATGGATGCTAACTCAAACAAATA